GAGGCATATGATGCACGATGCGAGGCATGGAAAAAAAGTGCGAAGCATGCGAGGTAGAAGTGCGAGGCATGAAAAAAAGTGCGAGGCATGAAAAAAAGTGCGAGGCATGAAAAAAAGTGCGAGTCAGGCAGATGTGCCAGTGGGAGGCAGACACAATGACTGACTCCAAAATTTGACGATATTTAACATATTGAACATACTTAACTTGACGCTGGACAAACGGACAAATGTGAACGACATTCTAGTTTTAATATTAAAAAGTTCTGTCTGTACATTATAGTTTTAAATAACTACAGCACTCCAGTCAAAACGTCAAAAAGTAAACATTAACCTAGACAATAGCTCAACAAGTGACAAGCTTCACTAAAAATTATGGAATATTAACTATTTTGCGTTGTTCATCTGTCAATTGAAAAACTACGTTCATACAAACTCGATAAGGTTTTATAAACGAATTTCTGGGTAATTTGAAAATGCATTTAAACCAAGGGAAAGCAATGGCCCAAGGGCAGTAGAAAAAAAGGCCCGTCAGGACTCGCGGGATTGCCTCACATGCCTCGCAGCCTTCCTCGCATCAGTCGCATGCCTCGTATGCTTCGCGGGCTTGCCATTGCCTCGCAGTTTGTGTGCACCCACAGGTGACCTTCTTCTACATATGCTACAACTTGAAGAAAAAGATATATGTACATGAGCAAAATAAAAACTGTCAAAAACTCAAAATGGTTGTCAAAAACTCAAAATGGAAGCGACAAGGAGCAACTTCGATGTTTTTCCATCATTTACAAAGGATCTGCTTTAATAGCTACTGTTTTAATATTGTAGTTTACTTTTTTGTTTTTACTTAATCCCCCCCCCCCATCAATATAAAACGTAAACTTAAAAATAACACTGCTTGTTGTTTATAGACAGTCATATAATTCTATTTTATATATATATATATATATATATATACGAGCAGTGAGGCAGCTATAAATTTTATACAGTTGTTATTCAGTTGACAGCTATAGTTTTTCATGATAAAGCGCTCAACATTGGTGTTGATTTTATTTCACAGAATCCACTAACAAACATTTTAAAATTATTTATATATTCATAGGTATATAGATTTGCTTTGTAAATATATATCGTAACATGGTCTGAAACAGACTACCCGACTGTCGCCTGAACTACCGCAAAATAAGCTTTTTTAAGAGTCTCGCGTGAGGCCCCACGGCAATAACACAAGCCAGTTTTTATATACAACATGTATCCATGCTATAGCATTCCGTGGACGAAATCTAAAAAAATTCACGATTATCGCACATAGTAAATTAACCTTTCAACTTATGTACTTTTATTGTATTTACCTAGCTTTAATTAGTCTATTAGTTTACATATGCAGAGAAAGCATTAAACAAAAATGAGAAATTATAAGACTTCAAAAGCTTACAGACTGCAGACATACAGTATTAAATATACAATCAGGCCCTGTTTACACTATACCGGATTCGCTGGCCAGTCACGACATCTTCTTTTCAGGGTTCTCCTTATCAGGCGGTAACCGGTAAAATTTACCGTCTCCAGCACCAGTGTTTACCGCCTATGAGCGGCTTGGAGTTTGTTTATATATTTGTTAAAAACGATAAAATACATAGTGCAAAAATAGTGTAATCACCTCATATATATTTCTGAGATATGTAACCATTATATTTTTTTCCGTACATTTAACAAAGTGACACTATGGGTAGTGTATGAGTATCTAAAGTATCTAAAACCGATCGATCGAGAACAATTTTTGGCGGGCGTTCTTATTAATTCAATTAAACGTACGAGAAACGCGAAGGCACAATCCACTCACGTGCATGCACGTGTGGGAACACTGGGAACTGAGCGAAGACTAAAGTAAACGTGATGAAGCGTCAGCGAACTATGAGTCATTTTCAAACTTTTTTCTAAACAAAACTCCACGGCAAGGATCAGGTAGGAATAAGAGTATTGACAGAGGTAGGAATAAGAGTATTGACAGAGGTAGGAATAAGAATATTGCTGTGTAAACATTATAGTTTACTAAGATTTAGTAAACTATAATAATAGACAATAGCTAAATAATAATATATTTGTAAATTTATAAGCCGCGACATTTTAGGTGTGTGTACATTGCAAATTTTAATCGTTGGGTTCAATACTATACGAACTGTATCCACACTCCACGGCAAACGCACAACATTATCAATTCAGTTAATATTTAAATTGATTCTGTTGTCTTTGTTTCCCATTGTCGCACTTCAGGCTTGTAGACCATTAAACTGGGGTTATACAAAGAATAATCGGTGCCATATTAATGTCTGTTGTATTTATATACAACTGTACTTGTACTTTGTAGTTGTCAAATAGTACCTTCTCACTTCCTTGAAAAGCAAATACTTTCAAGAAATACGAGAATTGAAGCCTGAAGGAACACTTATTTAGTGTACTTATTGTTGTCATGATTGCTCCTAGCGTAGTATATGCACTGCATACGCAACACTACAATTATTTATTACAATTTATACAATAACTGATCCTATTTCTTTGTTGAGCCGTTCAGTATAAAAAAAAACTGAGCAGACGTCTCTGTGTGGAACACACGTTTTTAACTATATTTGTATTTTTTGTGTTATAAAAATTTGCGTGTATTATTTAACAAATATAAAACATTTTCCGTGTTGATATACAGTTATATCAACACGAGTGGAAATTGGGAAAACGAGAAATTGTATGGAAACACGACGCCCGAAGGGCGGAGTGTTTTCATACAATTTCGAGTTTTCCCAACTTCCACGAGTGTTGATATAACTATATATCAATACGGAAAAATGTTTTATATTTTTTTATAATATAGCAATGTCAAAAGCCCGAAGGATGAGAAAAATTTCCGTGTTTACGAGCGGCGGAAAATTTCCCGTGTTGACATTGAGTTATATCAACACGGCTCTTAGCCAATCAGCGTTCAGAATTTACAAATGCTATATTATAAAAACAATTGATCAGTTTGCCAATATTTAAAATAAACAAATTTAATGGCTAATTATAGGAAACGAAACCACATCGTCAGCAGCCGTGCTTCCGCTTTAATGGAATTTCCTTCTCGAAGGAAATTTTGAAAAAATAAATAAGAGAAAATATCTATCTTTTAGATGACAACAATGACATCCTCGATAATCATGAAGCTTCAACTGAAGAAATACCTTCAGAAACACCAGCTAGTTTAACTTTAATAGAAACTGAAACGCCAGCTTTAATTGGCGAACCATCCTCAGACACACCAGTTTCAAGTTACAAACCACCTGCAGAAACGGCACAAGCTTTCGAAGGCAAACTTTCCTCACACTCTCAGTCACGACCATCACCATTTGAATTTTCTGAAACACAGCATGTGTGCATGATAAAAGAAATATTTGATACTGACAGTGTAAGTGAATGTGATCATGTATTACACAATCACACGCTGTGCTCCAAGTCTGGCTGTAAGTCACTAACTGCCAGTAAACTAGCTCGGCAGGAATCTTCTAAGCCTCATGTTTTCAAACACGAATGGATTCATGACAAAATTGGATTTTGTAGTAAGACACATATATGGTGGTTGACACTTCACGAGGGGAAGGGGATGTTCTGTTGCCTTTGTAAGAAACACCTCAAAGCCAACAAGTGCACAAAGTATGCTACAATACCTGGTACACGATACAGAAAGGTAGCAATAATAGAACACGGCTCTTCAGAAGAACACGCACAATCAATACGGCAAGAACTACTTCAGCGGGCATCGTGGTTCCAAAAAGAGCTGAATAAAAAAGCAGAAGTTGCTGATGAAGTACTGGTAAAAGCTTTTGCTGCATTTTATTTCACTGCCAAAGAAGAAATGGCCAATTCGAAAGTTATGCCACTCATTAACTTTCTAAGACATTATGGTAGCCCTGATATGAAATACTTTGATCACAAATCAGAAAGGTGCAAGCAAGAAATTTACCTAGCTATTGGTGAAACCCTTAAAGCTCAAGTAGTCAAAGAAGTAGCGGGTGCACGTTTCTTTTCTTTGCTTTCTGATGAGGTAAGTGATGTTGCTGTAACAGAGCAATTAGTCACTTTTGTCCAGTATGTCAGCAGTGATGTTCAGGTGGACACCAAATTTTTGTCCGTGCGAAACCTCCTAGAGCACCACAATAGTGCCGATGCAGATGCGATTGTGGATATGCTTGCTCAAGAGATAGAGGAAGATAAGCTTCAGTGGGCTTCATTGGCAGGATTAGCGTCCGATGGCGCATCTGTATTCACAGGCAAAAGGGGCGGAGTTGGCGTGAAACTTAAGAAAAAGCAGGAGGAGCATATGGGGGGTCGGTCACCCATAATGCAACAGCTATGGCATTGGCATATGCGAAGCTTAAAGAAGAAGCGCTTAGTCACAAAGCAATCCGTGATGCTGTCCAAGATCTGAAACCCAATGGTCGTCTGTCTGTCCAAGGTGTCGAAGTACAAGTTACAGAGTGCGGTCTTGTTGAGGTGGATAACCTGCTTCATCGATATGTCGCTGCTCTTACCCAACATCTTGATGAACGCTTTCAAGAAAGTCTCCCATTGTTTTCTCTGTTCTCGATCTTTGATCCTTCTTTGTTGCCTGCTGTAGACTCAACAGAGTTTTCGGAATATGGGAAAGGCGAAATCAGCGATATTGGAAAGATATGTTCCAAATAGAATACCCGAAGTGGTTGCAGAGTTCGAGTTGTTCAAGTTCCACATGGCTAAGTTCAAGATTCCTGAACCAAGTAAGCTGGTGGGTGAAACACAAACCGAAGTTGTGTTGAAGAAACTTGTACATATGAATCTCCTTTTCCCACTTCTTAGTTTATTTGCAGAAGCAATCCTGAGCTTGCCAATATCAAACGCCTGGCCGGAGCGTGGCGGTAGCGCGATAAAGAGAATTAAAACAAGACTCAGGTCTCGCCTCTCAAATAAAATGCTAGAAAGTCTACTTCACATATCCATAAATGGCCCTGCATGAAATTTGCACAGAAGAGTGCGATCAGCTCATTCGGGAGGCTGTTCAGCTATGGCTCGACAAGAAAAAAACGGATAAGAGGAAGTTACCGAAAAGAGCACCAGGGTTTGTCTCTTCACACAGGAAAGTGTTTGTGAGCACTGGTACTCAGTCTGACTCTGAACCTATGTTGCGGGTAAATATAACTGCCGATTTCTCAAATTTTTTATTAAGTAAAACGTTATTTTTTAGTGTAATATTGCTATAAAAAATTTATTTCATAGACAATGACACTCACTGACTGTCTGTCTGTTGCAAAAGTATTTGCTTATCACAAGTTATATAATTATCTATCCAAAATCAAATATGTAATGGTCCAGTTAACGAACTGCTAATGTAGTATTAGTAGTCTGTACACATATATACATGATACTTCCTAATCAATATCTTCTTCAATTACTTCAAGGTGGATTCACTTTCGGTAAATGCAGATGGTTCACCGAAGCAGATAGAGGTTGACCTAAATGAGGATCCAGAGTCTGATCCAGATGGTGACCTTGCTGCTAAAACTGTTACGGACAAAGCAGCCTATGTAGACCCCGCTGCTGGAATAGATAATGCTGCTTTGAATGACACGCAGATTCTATTTTTAATGAACGTGTCCCCAGATGAATATAACGACTGCATAGAAGATAATGATGATCTTTCTGCGAACGAATCTGGATTGTCGGATGAAGAACTAGAGTTCTAGTTAGGTTACGTCCTAGTGTCCTAGACTTACACATGTATTAGTAATTACACAATTACAGTTGGTTTCAGCAAACGTTTGAAGCTAGAGTTTCGAACTTTATTGTTTATTAGTAATGATATCATTTGATATCAATATGATGCCATTAATAGTTCATAAGTTTAATTTATGTATCTTTATATAGTGCAACTATACATTTCTTTACAAATGGCAAACCTTTGCTCTCAGTACAACGTTAGTATACAAGTTGTGTAAAATTACTTAATCATCAGTCCATAAACCGCTTGTACTTAGTTCGATTCTGAAAATGCCAAAAACGGCATTGATTCCCAAGCTACAAAATTTCAAAATGTTCCTGAGGACCATGCCCCAGACCCCCTAGGGAGCGGGGTCTATGAACGCGCGACGATGGTTTACCTGTTGAGAAAACACTTTTACCTGTTGTACTCACATTTGTGGAGAACCCTGCTTTTGCCGTTACGGAGCAATGGTTAGTAGCAAATGCTTAATAGTTTGATAGAATTGTCATGTTTATTTGGGTCTCTGAGATTAAAAATCTTCACAGCCTTTCGATACCTACAAAATTTGACCCACTCCGATAGCAACCGGTATAGTGTAAACGGGGCCTCAGTAACAACACGCGAATTGCTATAAATAGCAACGTTACAGTCTAGTAATGATATGATGATTTGTTGTGCTTTTGTTGTAAGTAGGCCTATCACTAAAATATATTGAAAATCCTTCTAAACGATTCTTTATAATGTATACAAAGCATATACATTGATATCGAAACACAAAATTCAAAGTTTTGAACAATTTGAGCTTCGTGACTCTGGTATAGACGTATGGGCTTAATGATTTAATTGTGTTACATTCCACTGAAAATCACCAAAATGAGCTTTTTTAAAAGTCTCGCGAGAGGCTCCGAGGCAATAACCCAAGCTAGTTTTTATATATAACATGTACTCATGCTATACCATTCCGTGGACGAAATATAAACAAATTCACGATTATCGCACATAGTAAATTTCCCCTTCAAATCCAGTGACAAAATGCAATTCCCAAATTTGACTAAAAATAGTCAATTTCAACAACGTCTGTCAGGCCAGCTAAAGCCTCCTGGGCCATTCCATATTGATAAAATTGTTCTTTAACACTTGAATTATAGTCATTATACCATCAAAACTACCTATGGGCAGTTTTGAATCCGTCGCGAAGTGATGAAACTGACCATGGCAGCGGCTTTGTCTGCGGCTAATTATAGCCTCCTGGAGACAAATTCTTGATTTCTGATATTTGTACGTTTATCGACCAAATATTGAAAATCTAACCCAAACACCATTTATAACTAGGTATTACCTTAATTTGAGCAAAATATGAACGAAATCTATTTTTCGTGTATTGCCGCAGAATTCAAATTTTGCTCGATTTTTACGGACAGTCGCTCTTAACATAAAATAAAGAACAGCAAAGAAGCGACATTGGTATTGCTCCTTTTCGGCTTTGTACCTCTTCTCGTGTGCTGTAATGTATAATAAGTCTTGAAAAGTAAACCGTTTGCGCCCGAGCTGGGTTTTGTAAAGCACATCGGGCGTCGCTTCTTGCAATAACTATCATCGTCTTATGCTACGGTAATCACTTACGCCCGTTTCAGACGGCGTACTCTTCATGTGGCGAACTTAATTGTATTAGATGCGACACAAGAACGGCAGTGATTCAAACGGCGTACCAAATACAATGTTATTGACAAGGTCGGGGCGCATTCGCCAGCGAAACTTAAATAAAATTCAAAATAAATAAGTTTATTTTTAGGCTAAAGTTGAGTTAAGTTCGGCACATGAGAAGTACGCAGTCTGAAACGGGCCTTACACATGCTTGCAAATAAAAATATTTCTTTCGAAATCAATGTGTAGCACAACAAGCGAATTAGATCTTCTCAAGATCAGTATCGCTGTAATTACACGATATCGAAATTGATTATGGGTGGAGCTGAGCTACTGGGCTATACTGTGTATAGGCTGCACCGGAATTGCAGGGTCACAAGTTTGATCCCTGCCCGAGGGTCTAGATACAGTAAGTTGCCTTTTTCGCAATTGGGTAATTCCATGGAAGTGATGCCACTTTTTGAAAAATAAAATTTGTCAAGAATTTAAAAATTTAATAATAAGTTATTTTGACAGTATACATATGCAGGGCTAATATGAAAGTCAATTTGGACAAAATATTGCTGTCAGATTCAAGGGCGGATACAGAGGAGGTACGACAAGCAATTAGCGAGTTGTCACGTGAGCTCTCGACCAATGAGATCGCTCTATTTTCCATCGTGTTATCTGCAGAATTTGGACAGAAAAATTTGCATTCGACGGAAAATAAATCGGAAAAAAATATTAATATTAAAATTTTCTTGCAAAATTTCAAGTGTAGTAGTACTACAGCTAAAGATCTGGTGATATCTGCAGAAATCTCTGAGGTAAATGTTATTTTCAATGTTATTTTGATGTTTGAAGTTAGTCGACTCCCCGCGACGTGTTGACTAAAGTCTGAATATGTTCACAATGTTTAAAATGAAATATCTAGAATTCCCATGGTTCGATTTTCTTCATTTTTTGGTAGTCGTCAAGACAAAAGTATAAGCTTTAAATCTGCTGGAATGATCCCGGTGATCCCCCGGCAGTTTTCGAGATATTGACCGTTGAAGTGACTATTGTCAACTCGACGTTCGCTAAAATGGCGGCTAATACCTTGGAAAGAAAATGCGCCATCAAAGATGATATTTTCAATGAATTTTTGTTAAAGTGTTAAAATATTATTTAGAAGACTTAGGAGTTGTTTTAATATTTTTTTAGAATTTATATCTGTGCGATTTTCAAAGTTTTGTTGTCTTTGGCCGACGCGACTGGATCGTGTACGTATTTCAAGACGAGCTGATCGCCTGATACTGGGATTTTTGTGGCAAATCGAGCTGCGGAATCCTCAGCATGGACAAATCAGTGTCATAACAGCCCATTTCAAGCCAGCAGAGAGCTTCACTTGTTTTAAAGCAATAAAATAAGTTTTTTATGTATCATATAACAAATTAAGTGGCATGTTATTGTGGGACCTTTCCCTGCTGGCAGTGGTTTCTGAGCTGAAGTGGGATCTCTGATCAACTTAATAAATATTATATAAATAGACATCTTGTTTTATTGTTGCATTAATTTTAATCTGAAAAAATACTCACAAAGTAGGTCAAGTGTATGAATAAATATTCATTTATTTACTAAAGTACATTTTTTACAGTTATTTATGTACTTAGTCTTATTTGCATGAGTGTACATGACAGATTGGTTTAATTAGATATACCCAGTTATCATTCATAACCTATGGTTTGTTTAAAAAATGCTGGAAAAAACTAAAAAAGTTAGCCAATTGAAATAAATGCACTAATAACTTGCTAAACATAGCTTGGTAGTTGCTATTTATTATATAAAAAACATCTGTCAACATACACTCATGCTTTTTCCTACCACTCGAGTCTCCACTCACCAGGGGCCGGTTGTTCAAAGCTGGGTTAGTTTAACCCATGGTTAACCTAAAATTCGAAGCAAACTTCCGATCCTGACAGCTTTTCTATAAATTTGGAAATATTTCTTCAGAGATCTTGTCTGGATCGATAGAAGTTTACTTCTCTGAAGTTTTGAAATACACAGATCTATGTGTAGAAGTACACAAACTAAAACAGCAGGTTAAATTTTAACCCAGGGTTAGCGCTAACCCACCATTGAACAACCGGCCCCAGGTGTCTTTATGAAAATTTTTGGATAAAATCCTATTTTTAATTAAAAAAGTCAACCCTATACTTGATACACTGAACATAGACATCCACGACATCTCCTGCAGCAATTAGTGGGTGCAAATACTTGCATAGTTCAGAAGCAATATAACCAACATGTGTCCATACAGTTCCATAGTCTAGATCAATAGGCAATTCCAGCTTTTAATTTATGCATGCAGGGGGTGACGGGAAGTAAGGTATCATATTGCTGATTATGCTGAAAAATTTTAATAAACTGCCTAAACAACCAAAATATTTCAATATTTACAATAGCTACCACTCCATGTTTACATGGCCACCATTTCTATTTTTTCAGCATTATCAGCAATATGATACCTTACTTCCCATCACCCCCTGCATGCATAACCTAAAAGCTGGAATTGACCATTGCACTTGGGTCCCTTGGATTCAACGGTGCTGGCCGTATTCTTACATTGAATTCACTGTTTTATCTTGTTCATGAAGAGCGAGGTATTATGCCTTTATTTTCCAAATGATGTCAATAGTTTTTCTCATGAGCAGCACCGATGCACTTGAATGGTACAGAGTGGGCGATTTCTTCCTCCCCATCACTTTCGTCTTCATCACTTAACTTGTCATCACTTTCTGCCCTATCACCTTGATCACCTCTTTCATTATCATATACATCTTGAACAGGTTCAAGACCAGCCAACCACTCAAGTAAATCTCTTTCTACAAAATCATATTAAACAAGGAAATTATTATTTGATACATTGTCATCTCTAAAATTAGCAAAAATATACAAACAGCAATATTTAGATGAAAATTTAAAAAAATATTAAATTACAGTTTGCACATTTAAACAACCACCCACAACTAGATACAAACAGGCATTACACTCAGCAAAAATTTATAAAACCATACAAATAACTGAATAACAATATACCTTCAGACTCATCTGAGAACCAATGTTCATCATCTGAATGTTCATCATCAATTCTATTCGCTGTCAATATATGATCATCATTGAAATCCAAAATCAAAAGCATATGCTGGGAGTTTTCGTTAGCAAACTCATCAGGAGTAGGGTCAAACTAAAGGGTTAAATTATTAGAAATATTACGCCATAATTTGTACAGTGTATTTATAAAATTACAGTACAATATTGAAAACAGCAAAGCGGAAATTTGACCAAATAACAAGTCAACTGTGTTAAATGCATTGTAATATACTAACCTTAAATACTGCGCTTGTTTTCACGTTGATGATACACAGATATTTAACGCCATCCAACTTAGAAAGAAGGGCCTCGCTATTGGGAATATAAACACAATTCCTTCGCTTTGACAGACGGATTATTTATAAAGCTAAAATGACAGCACGTCCCATGCAATTTAATATAAGGTAAACTTGGTATAGTAAAACACAAGTCATAATTAGGATCGCAACAATACAGCAATAACATGCTATTTTCACGAAGTTTCGCAGCCTGACAATCTTGTATTTCGAATGCTTCCATATTTGTTTACTCAGAGAGATGTTCACTCTACGACAGTCAAAGAGTCATTGAAGCCACGCCTGGAATTAGGCACTCGAGCCCATGATGCTTTGCGGCCTGCTTGTCGAACCTCCTCTGGGGCGGATATTCATATATTTAAGAGGAGGGTTAGAAAAATTTCTGGTGGGGTGCAAGCGACACCACTCATTGAGCTTCAGCAGGGGTTAGGTTAGCCTGCTCACAGACGTTGTAGTTCTTACGCCAAGCGACGAAATACTACCGTCTGCTTACCCGAGCTGCATATTCAATTCCCTTTGTTTTAGGAGCCAATCATCTGGCAGTGTTCAAAAAAGTTAGAGCCAATTGGAAGCCGCCTTATTGAGAGATTAGCTACAGGGGAAACCCCTTGCACATGCATTGGAATATATTGTTTAGGTTGAAACTTGAAATTTGTTTACTTGCGTGGATATATTTTGGAAACTATAGCGTTGAATTTCACGATGTTTACGTAGAATAATATTGTGATCATCTTCTCGCATGTTCAGCAAACAATATGTATATAAAGTGCTAACGCAATGCAGTAGACGAAATTTAAATTTTTGTTAACAATGACAAACAATCAATCGGGAAACTCGAGTATATCAGGATATGTCCAAATGTTGCTCTTGATACTTCCTATATGCCATGACTTCAACGCAAACTTCTAAAAGATTAAGCTCTCATTGTCATGTAGAAAAGTATAGCCAAGTTAGAGTATAAACGTTTCGAAGTTTGGGCGAATTGGAAAATTCATCACGGCGCAATTTTAATACAAGTTTCTCGGGTTTGTGTTGTGTTTACAGTTTACACTCAGAAGTGGTTGCTCAAACAGCAAATTAGTTTACTTTGAAGCTAATATTTCGCTTTCTAAGCCACAGTATTATATAAAATTTTATGTCTTCCGAGTTCTGTTGTCTTTAATTTAATATAAAGATTAACCGTTAAAATTTCAGCGAAATATATTCGGCATTTGATGCTGTCTGGCTAAGATTCATACAGTATAAATATGCCAATCCTGTCCGCGTTTTAAATATAACCGAACATCTTTAATATCCAAATCTGACCATTAATGGTGCATTTTATTACCTGGACAAGTATCAGTATCTTTAAATTCAATTTATGTGCAATTTTGACCAAAATTCAACCGACGACTGCTTTCAAAATATATATTTATATTTTTTCCGCTCCTAAATCAACTGACGTCACTTTCCAGAATTTGGAAGGTAAATTCTGATTGGTCGACGTAGCGGAATTCAGTTTGGCGCTCGGGTAAGCAGACGGTAGTATTTCGTCGCTTGGCGTAAGAACTACAACGTCTGTGAGCAGGCTATACGACATCAGGCCTGATGATCGTACGATGTACGTGAAACACTGTGTAGCGATGAAATAAAATTTTAAGATTGAAATTTGTTGTTTTGTTTTTATTTGCTCTTTTGTTTTACTGGTGTTGAGCACTCTCAATACTGAATATATATATATATATATATATATATATATATATATATATATATATATATATATATATATATATATATATATATATATATATATATATATAGACAGGACGTAGTTAGTTATGTATAATATATAAAGACAGGACGTAGTTAGTTATGTATAATATATAACAGTGACAGTGCCCAAGTTGAAGTTTCCCGCTGCTTCCTGTACTTACACTGACAACGTCAACGAAAGGCTTCAGTATGCATGTAAAGTACTCATTGCATGTAAAAGCTACAGATGAGCCATGTATTCCATAGAGTGCAAAGTATTTAACTATTTCTGGGTTAAGTTAGATTTTAAGTTAAAAAATTGATCAGTCACATAATTAATCTATTTTTTTGGGTCAAGGATAACCTGCAAAAATAGCACTTTCCATTTATTTCATAAAAGACCAAACATTGATATTTATACACTTGGGGCATATGGTTTACTCATTTCCCAGAATCTTAATTATGGATAGGGTGAAGTCTCAGTGCTCCCCGTGAAAGATCCCCTTGATCTACTGTTCAGAGTGTTAACAGGGAGAGCTTTCCAAACACTGCATAAAGATTAGCCCAGGGACCTTCCTAATTGACAAGGCACACCCCCTGGCTCTTGCCAGGCACAGCCCTTAGGAGTTATGCCACTGAGGAGTAAACCTCTGACCATTACTCCAGCTATGCCCAGGCTATAAACAAAATGATGATTTAGCTTGCTGAAATACTTTCTATTTACTTGAGCATAAAATATGACAATGTCACACATTATACAAGGCCATCATCTTGGCCCCCCCTCCCCAAATTGATTTACTTCCAACGGCCTTGTAACCTTGTAACATCCTATCCAGATTTTTTTTAATTCTATAAGGCCCTGCATACAAGGTTAGTCCCCTTCAGGCCTGGATAAAGTATTTCTCTTCCTGGCAGCAAAATCCAAAAATAGAAATTTCCTGCTAAACTAATTAAAAATTTCCTGCGAGAATTTTTTATTATAACTAAGAGAACAAGCACTGATGTGAAAAATAAAATTATATACTTTTAAAAAGTAGCCACTGCACTCGACAGGCACATTAATGGCACTATGACTCTAACATCATTGAAATAACCTTTTTTTATTCTTGCTGTTCCGGAAAATTATTTAGTTGAAAATTTGTTTTTCAGAGTTTCGGTTATCACTGATCATGCAGTCGTCACTACTGTGATGCAGTCATCGCTCATCAGTGTTCTGTAACTATGTACTTATCCGTGTTCTGTAACTATGTACTTATCCATATACTTCTATATACCGTATTGGTAGATTATAAATATAGATAGACACTGGTAACGGTATATTGTATAAATATCAAGGTTATATATTTATATAAATAAATCATAAATGAAGTCATGAAGATCATCAGTATGGCTTTGTAACAATCAGAAATAGTTCAGAATAATATCTTCTTTTCAGGCCTGAGTCTTCATTAGTTCAGTACTGTAGTTTATTCAATTCAATTCATTCCTTAGTGAGTTACTGCATGAACGGCAGTCTTGACTTCTCTTGCAGCATTCTGTTTACAACCTTAGAATTGTCAGATACACCCACTGTGGCAAATAGACTGATGTCATTTGATCTTCTTACAAAGCGAATGCCATGCTGCCCTTTGAAGTGCTGTTTCATAGCCGCCATCACAACTTTGTCACATTGGGCTTGTGAAGGACCATTAACGCTAACCATCATTTCGTTGTACGCGGTATCCTCATTCACATTTCTAAATTTATTGAAGTGAATCTCAAACTTTGATGTTAATGATTCAATCACTGATTCCACAGAAATTTTCACAGCGGACACACAAATAGAGTGGATAATCATCTCAATTCCCTTGTACAACTCTTTGTCGCTGCGCAAAAATAACTTAATAAGCTCTTTGCTGTCGAGATCATCATTCTTTTTGTTTCTGACAACTTTCTCCAGCCGTACCAGAAATTCCTCGAATTGAAGAATTATGGTCTCGTCCGGAACCTCTTTAACGGATGGGATTATTTTGCGTAGCGTCGTTATATACTTCGCTCTTTCGATATTCGAAATAAGGATGGCACCTCTCAACTTTATTCTAACTGCAGTGGTCTTCAAATCAGTAATCAGCCTCGTATCCTCGATCATTTCTTTGTCTGACTGAGAGAAGACTTGATCGCGTAAATCTTTCTCCAAGCGTGTGATGAGCAACAATACTTGCTTTGAAACATTATCTCGCACGTTTTCAGCTTTGTTTGCATTTGCTCGTCTGGCTAAAGACCTTGTTACATTTGGCCCCTCTTCGTCGTGGTCATCAACAATTGGTACACCCATGTATTCACCTGTATCATCCAATTGCTTTATATCATCATGATATACAGGCCAAGAGCAGGATTTCGCGTCACATTTTTCATGATTCATTCTTTCGGACATATTCTTCATCTTGTTGCAAACGTGGATAAAAGTGTCAAATCTTTCATGAGGAAGAGAGTTGACTTTCTGTACCACATTTACCAATTCTCCATACTTCTCATAAATGTCAGTTATACCAGATAGTCTCAATACGAACTTGGCATTGCAAATGGAATTCATGAATTTCTCTGCATCAACAGCCTTTTGCCTGTCTTTCGAGTCACCGTCTCTCTTTTCAGTCTTTGTCATCTCGAGACACTGTACAATTGCACGATAATCCTTACGAAAGTTCATATAAACTTTCCTGACACTATTTGCAAAACGAGTAGTGCTATACTTAGCTGGATTTGCAAGCACTTGCCCCAAGGATTCACATGCATCTGCAAGTGCTTCGTAATTCTTCCCCCAATTGAAATTCTTGAAAACAGCCGCAACAACTCCAGTTACCTTATTTAGAAACTTGAAATTATCATCTTCTCGAATATGAGTGTCAACCAAGCCAGCTTTGTGCATGGGATCATAATCATAATGAACAGACGCGTCTTTTCCTTCTGTGCCAAAGTGGGTATTTAGGACCTCAGGAACAGAAAGGTGGAAATACTGTCCATCGAAGGATCCACCTTGAAATTGCTCGGCCGATATCTCAAACTCTTTCAGCACGGATATAATACTTTGGCCGACACCTTCCCCAGTGTGACTTTTCACAACTGGTAGCCCCAGAAACATATATTGTAGAAGGTCATCGGCATCTGGTATTACGCTAGTCAAACCAACAAACTGTCGAGTGCGATGCTTGTATGTTGCTTTGTCTGCTAACACTTTAACAGGAGGCGCAAATCCGGTTTGCGGTAGTGGTTTTCTCAAATAATCTTTCACATTATCTTTGACAACTTCAGCAACAGATTCCAGAAATTTCTGCGGAAACTTATAGGAATGATTTATATCTCCTACATCAACTCCACATCTGTGCAGCAAAAAAACTTCACCTTCATAATCAGTATACGGTCGTCCACGGCAGTATATTTTGTAACAAGCACAGCCAACTCGCAAGGCTATGGCATTGTTCCGGTTACTCTCGTTTTTCATTTTGATGGTCATACTTTCGTCTTGCGATAGCGCGCTTTGATGTGCGTCACGCTTCAAATGGCGAGATATACTGATCTTGAGATTTCTGAATGCCCTTGACATACTGTCCGTATCCCGCTTATCCATGCTTTCCCTAACCGAAAACATCCCAGCAGGTAAAGCACTTCCAGTAGGACAAACCAGTCTCATCTTGTTTTTTGGAATGCACACTCTGCAAATTATTGTTAAATCTTCTCTTATCAATTCCATTTCGGGAAAGTATGCCAATATGTCGTCAATATCCTTACATTTTAAGAGGACAGAGTCATCATCATACTGATCACAGGCTGACTCTGTGGCTTCTCGAGGTTGAACGTTTGAACCACGCTGCTCGGTTACCTCGACAGAGTTCGGTAATTTTGATTTTTGCAACTCAATGATTTCCGCTTTCATATATTCAACCGCACTTGTGAGATGGCTTAAATCAGTCTTCAGGTTGCCAACTTCATTTTCTAATATGTCTGTTTTTGTTGACTCCGGTCGATCTTCAGCTGTGCTTTCATAAACGCCCTCAATCGCAATGCTTGTCACATCCGCATCAGTTCCACTGCTTTCTTTATTGCAGCCATCATCAGTGAAAATGTTCAGCCCCTGGTCCTGGATTTCTCCCAGCTCTAAAGTTTTGGCGGCCTCACCTCCACATGATAAGCTCGTGAATGAATCCAGTTGCTCATCTTCTGCCTCCATATTGGGACTCAGTGCTTGCTCTACGCGAGGTCTTTTTTCGGATGGAAACATTGCAGCAATTGACCTTTGAGAAATATCCCGCGTTTCATTCGAATTATGGATATTTCTCATGTGCGTTGAAAAATTTTGCTCCAGCATCACTTTTTTGCAAACGTGACAAGTGATTGTCGATTCTTTGCTTTTGAAGTTACGTTTTTTACTAGACATTTTGTCAGATGACTGTTATAATACGGAGAATACGAACAGGCTGTTTGTACATTTATACTAAATAGTAAACGACATCATTCCACTTCCGCCTATTATTATTTGTGACTATTATTAGTCAATTCTATTTTTAGCTAATATGTCAGTAACAACTAACAAGTGTAAATTAATATAAAAATATAAACTTGCTGAAAACATTTGCACAAATTCTTCGTTCCACAGATATACTGTAAATTTTAGATAGAATAATAAGAATACAAACAATGAGAACTCACTAAAACGAACCAGACACTGGCCACGCCATGTGCAAATCAAATTTCAATACTAGCTAATATAGTGATAGACATATTTAATGTCATAAAATTTGACATATTGTTAAAATCTAAAACTGAACATATAATATCTCAAACATGTCATAATAATTCGTTTTAAAACAATTTTTCCGAGACATACAGGCATATTGTAAACACTGGACTGGACTTTGGACTTTGGACTTTGGACTTTCGATTTTGAAATTATATTATTTTTTAGATTTTCGTATAATTATATTAAAATCTAAACAGAGAACGAAAATTTGCTGCTGAAAAGCGTGCTACACTGCATGCACATGCATGATATAATAATATACAAGGTAAAAAATCTCTAGTATCAGTTATATAGGTATACCAGCAGTGCAATTTCATACGGATATAGCTTGTAGGACAGCAGGATTTATCCAATATTTTGGGATTTAATATTTAAATTTTATATAATATTTGTATTTATAGTATGCATAGTACAGTGTATACTGCAGAACTTCTTTTTTATCATATAGATAATAGATTAATTGTCAGAAACAATTGTGACAAAAGTGTCTCGGCAAACACAAAATATTAACTATACAAGTGATTATTATCGCGCCTATTGAGTATTGAGTATTGTGACTGTTCATCTTTGCATATTAGTCCGTGTGTTGTGACCTCGAAAAGTGCCTAGAAAACAATTTTCATTAAGCATGTCTTAGAACTGAAATACTTTTACGGGAACTAACACTTTCGAACACGCTGAGTTCAAATCCGAAAAGTTCCCACTCCGTAGACCCGCAGTTTTTTCACAAAATGCTATTTTATCTTCACTAATTTCACAGCAAATTTTTTCATTGTTCAACGTCACGGATCGATGACGATACACTATTATGTCACTCAAAAGGACCAATTTCTATTAACCATTCTTCCTTTTAACAAAAAACCGGTTTTGCTCGAATCATTTTGAGTTATGTAATCTTATGCGTGTTGGACGTAAACAACATATCTTGTCTACAGCTTTGAGAAGGTACAGATAATTCTTTATAATATTCTTAGTTCTGGAACTATCTCTATAAAATCAAAAGGATGTTAATGTCAAGTCTTTGGGCTATGTCTCTGGGCTGAGAAATAATTCCTTACATGGGATCAAAATGTTTTATACAAAGATATAAAACGAGAATCTATATGTAATGGATCAGCATGGAAATTTCCAACACGGTTTCCAAGACGTAATTCAAGAGATAACTTATCATTGCATTTGAACTATTATATCAGTTGGTGTTATACTGTGCGATAAGCGAGTATTATTGGAAAAAGGGCTTCTATATTCGTCGAAATCATCGAATAAACAGCTCATGCACACATTTCTCCACTTCGCGGTAAGTTTACAGAGCATATTTTATACGTTGTGACTGATCTTTGTCTTTGATGTGAACATTTATTCTTATAGCTTAAGGTTATTTAAGATTGATCCTGTCGTAAGTCTT